ATCGTTTAGAAATTACAATAAAAAAATATAAATCGAATTGAAAACATAACACGGAGTCAGGTGTCAGAATTCCTTTCAGGCAATATAACTATACTAAGGCTAAATTTTTTCGGGACGTATAGAAAAATATTTTTTTTATTGATTTTTTATATTTCTTTCTAGTATTTATCAATCAAATTTCTCAAAATTTTATCAATAAAGTTTTTAGTTATTTATGATGATATTTCTTGCAAAATGCTAGAATGCCATCTTTTATTTGTAATTTATTATTTTATATCAGAATTTGAGTTAAAAATAGGCGAGCAATTTGTTGAAATTTAGATTTATGAAAAATGTATTAAATGATATTTACTTTGAAGAATTTATTTGTAAAAACTTGATATTATATTTCCGTATTTAACTCTAAGTGCCAAAGATGAAGAAATGTAAGTTTTCGAATTGTTTCTTTTAATATGCAGCAACTCGGAATTATAAGGAGATAGGTATGTAGATCCAAGGTGGTTTATATTCCAGCAAAATGGCAATAATGATTTTCACACCAATTTCATACACTCATTGCCAAGTAGATAATTTTCATGTGTTTATCCATCCTTTATCTATTCATCAATATTTTTATTTAATAAAATTCTGGGTTAAAATATTTTTTACCATTTTTACATGTTTTCTTCTACCTCTTTAACCACTATTGTCTCTTCTTCCAAATCCGATTCTTTATTTTGTTATTGATCAGTTCCTCTAAAGTGATTCTTCCTTGTGAAATAAAGGGTGCTTTATTTTTTGGTTTAAAATTTTTTGCAGCATCTTCCTCTCTCTTCGCTTCTTTTAAAGGGGGTATTGGTTCCTCATGCATCTCTGATCTCATAATAACACCCATTGACGCTCTCTCTCCAGCTCTCTTCGGCATTTAGTCCTGACTCAAGTCCTCTTCGTCGATCAAAGGAAATAGTTTCGACTGTCTTTTTAAGTACTATAGACTGAATGTATGCTTCTACATTCATGGGTATTTCTAGTCTTTTAAGATGAGATTTATGGTATTTTGTCACAATACCGTCCCAGGTCATCACATAAGGGATTATCTCAACACTACACTTATAAATAAGGCCCAACTCATTGGCTAGCAGGTCATACTTCCTAAGTTTTTCAGTTTCAACTATTTGAAGTGAATCTTGGGAAGTGATTCCTACTTCAATGAGTGTTATCTTATTCTTCTTCTTATCTAAAATAAATATGTCCGGTCTGTTATTCCGAATTTTAACATCAGTTTTAATTCTGGTGTCCACTCTTATCTCTGCATACTCATTATCAAGAATTTCTTGAACTGAGTGGCTCCTTATTCGTTTTGAAGACTTAAACTTATATCAATTTAGAAGGAGAAGGTGTAGGCATCTAACCACTTCATTATGCCGTCTAGTGTAATCATGGCCTAGCATTTTTTCACATCTAGTTGCTAGATAATCCACAGTCTTACCAGACTTCCCGCAATGTTGACACACACCATCTGCTCCCCAGAATACATTTCTATCCTGGATATAGCAGAACACAGCTTCATTTCGTGGCCTAAAATTTCCTCTCTTTAGCCATCTTGAAGAGTCACTAACACTCACAAGCTCATTTTTCCTTGCATTATATAACTTTGAATGGAGTTTTCGTTTTTCTATTTCGTTATATAGTTTTGCAAGTTGAGCTTCTTCTAAACTTTTCTTAGTGACTTCTTCTACCAACCTGTACTTTACTTTTAAGAAGCCTTTTATTAGTGCAAGATGGGTTTTATTATTATTCTCCACCTTGAGGATTGCTGCTCGTCTAGTTGATATTTCTTTACTTTTTTCCAGACAATCCAAGAGTTGCAGAAGCATATGTTCGCTTCGCAACTCAACACTATGTAGGCCTCTTCCAAGTTCTGTTCTAGGAAGATACAACCGCTCTTTACATCCTGGGCGGAGATGTATCTTATTTTTAACCAACACCGCACGCACTGCATCATCTAACTTAGAGAAGTCAGCCGGTTCAAGTCGAAGTACTCCTATGTGGTAGTTGATTAACGATATCGCATGTTGATTGATTGCAGAAAATAAATTTTTTGCATTTAATCTAGTGTGACAAAGTCTTTCAACTCTTGATATAAGTTTGCTCTGTACTTCTTCAAATGAGCTACGTGTTGGGATTCCTCTGCTATCTTCTATTATTCCTAAATATTTGTAAACACTAACACCTTCTAGAAGAGTAGCAGTATCTTCACAACACGTATCATTTGTGGCTGACTTCTCTTTGTTAATCTCTAAGCCAATCACCTCTAAAAATTCCTTTGCCTCGCCTGTCATAGCACTCAATGTGGAGCTGTCTTTTGCAAGGAGCTTAAGATAATCAATAAACAAGAGATGATTAGTAGAATGGGATTCTGCATCTGTTTGTACTGTCACTTTTGTGTATTTTTCATTAAGCTTTCGGCTTAATGGATCCATACACAACACAAATAACAAAGGTGACAGACTATCTCCTTGTAGAATTCCTCTATCAATCTTCTTGCTCATGATTTTTTCAGGCCCTACTGATATATCAATTTTCCATTTTGATATAATTACCTTAATAAATTTCAGGATCCAATCAGGTAAATTAAGGTTTTCAATGCATTGAGTTAAATAAGCATGATCTATTGAATCATAAGCTTTTTTAACATCAATCCATGTTGTCTTAAGATTATTTCCATACTCTTTATTTAAGGCAATATTCAGTAGAGCCTGCTCTTTCGCTCCCTGCACACCTCTTACCGCCCCTAATTGGTTCTCTGCAAGCAACCCTCGCCTTTCCACTTCAATTTATACGACTTTCGTTACACACTTTGTCGTTAACTTATAGAGGTTGGACATACAAGTGATTGGCCTGTAGTCAGAGCCTCTTCGTGGAATTCCTTTCGGTATCAAATACGTAAGCCCGCAGTAAAACCAATCAGCTTGAGGTGTTCCTTCTAAACATATAACTTTCACAATATCATAAAGATATTTGTGAAGAGTTGTAAATTTCTTAATGAAAAAATTGTAAATACCATCAATTCCAGCAGCTTTCCAATTAGGGAGCCAATTAATGATATTCACAAATTCATCAAGTGAAGGAAACGTGGTCGGATGATTATCTGATACAAATGTAATCAAATAATCATCGTACGTGACTGTGTCATCATTTTTGTTCCACATTGTAGACCAAAAACTCACAATTTAGACACGGCTAACCACATGCTTGGATTCCACACGCTCGGATAACCCACGATAAAATCGACCTCGGAAAAGCTCAAACATACGATTCTCTTTTCGGAATTGCTTCCTACTTTCATGCATCGTAATTTTTTTCTCGTAAACATTCAAAGACTCATTCTTCTTAACTAAAGCCTCAGAAAGATCAGTTACGCTGCTCAAGTTTAAATTAAACTCTCGCATGATTTTCTTAAGGCTCTTCGTTTCCGAAGTGGAGAGCTTTTCCTGCTTACGAGCTTTCTCGAGGAGATCTTTGGAAAGTACTAACTTAGAAATTTTACTTTCTATGTTTTCCTTCCAAGCGGATCTAGGCTTCTCTTTACGTGTTGCCTCGTCATAGCATACCTGCGCAGCTTGCATGATATACGCGGCTTCCGTAATTGACTCAGGTACATGAGCTCCTGCATATTCACCGACTACTCGATTAATGAGATCCAGAGCTTTACTATCAACCAATTCATTTGGATGTTTTCTAGTTCGGACCACCACTTTTCCAATTTCGTTCTCAGATATTTCTTTGATTTTACTCAAGAATTTATCTCTCAGGTTTATTTACTCCGTGGTGTCGGTCAAGGTGCATGTATCAGCGAGACAAGTGGCGATTCTACGTCGCTCTCCATTCTCTTCTGATTTTACATCCTTTCCCATCTCACTTTGTGCCAATTTTTTTAACACTTCGAGAGTTTCAGTGCAGCCGAATTTCTCATTATAGTACCTGTGAAGCTCTGTCCAGCCATTTCTTGGCATTCTTTCAAACCTTGTCTGTACTGCAAAAAAAACAATTCGAGGCCATTCCTTCGAATCGGCTGTTACGGAATCGAATATCGTCCGCAATGCCATAGCCTGTTACCTTCCGGAATAGCTAGAGTACAGGGGCTTGTCATATCGTACGATGGCTCGCACGCAGAGACTTCAACCGAAGAGGGAACTGGTGCATTAGGCGAAGGTAAGGTGTCAAGCCCACTATTTTGCATTTTACTGCATGTTTGGCTTGGTGGTGGAGGTGTTATTGTTGTGTAGGAGGAGGAAGGTAGGGGAATCGCCGGTGGGTGTAGCTTACATTTTTGTATCTCACTATCACTCTTTTTCACCTCATCAGCGTCGTTTGCAGCCTTTATTTTGGTATTATTCGATATTTCGCTGCTAACATTTTTCTTTCTACCCATTTCTTCTTATAATTCATCAATATAATATATATAAATAGGAAAATAGTTCATTTGGTTAAACTAAAAGGTGTTATATTTACAATAAAAATATTGTTTTATTTAGCAAAAGTACGTATTTTCCGATTATATTTTGTTTACACTGCCTAATAATCTCCAAGAAGACGCACTATTCTCTAACTAACACTAATATTCTTATAGTTTATATTTTAAATTACTTATTTTGAGCCTTAAAAAGACTAAATTGTCTTTTGCTTCTTTTTGATAGATTTTTTACTATAAAAAATTATGAATTCATAGTGTATTTTGTCGCTCTTTTTTTTCTTATTATAGACTCTTGAAAGAAAGAAAGAAAGAAGGTAAACATTCTATAAATATATTAGCTAAAAAAAATTAAGTCATCAAAGCCCTTTGATTTTTAAAAAATTCCTTTAGCATTTTAGATCTTATTTTTGTAAAGTTTCTCTGTCAACTTTTCAGATTTTTCTATTTTTTATAGTATTAATTTCTTGGAATAAACGATTCAAACGTATAAAAACAAATACACTAAATTTTGTATTTTATGACGTGTAATTATGGACGAATTATAGCTCTAGTGGCGCAATGGTAGCGCGTTTGACTTCTAATCAAAAGGTTCCGAGTTCGAGTCTCGGCTGGAGCGTTTTGACAATTTTTTTCATTCTGTTGACTTTAAAAGTGAAACCTATTTAACTAATAAATTTAGATTTTATTTCTTAAGTACAAAATAAATGAAAAAGAAAAAAAGTTGATAGCTAAAAACAAAAAAATAATAAAATAATGCTAAAAACGACGCTGATGAGGGAAATAGAAGTATAGTGATCTACAAAAATGTGAGAAACCTATCCCGAATCTCTAGATTCCTCCCCCACAGAACAAACACACATACCCCACAGATCAAACTTCCAATAAATGCAAAATAGTCGGCTTGACATCTTAACTTCGCATAATGCAGTACCTGCCACTTCGGTTGAAGTCTCTAATACGAGTCATTGTACGGCAAGACAAACCCCTGTATTCTAGTTATTCTTGATAGTAACAGGCTAATTACATGAAGAAGATACTCTTTTCCGTAACAGATGACTCGAAGGAATGGCCTCCAATTGTCTTGATTTGCAGTAGAAAAGGGTAAAAAGAATGCTAAGAAAAGGCTGGACAGGTACTCTAAAAAGATATTCAGCTGAGCTGTAACTCTTAACTTGCTAAAAAAATTAGCACAAAGTGGGAGGGGAAGGGAAGTAAAATCAGAAGAGGATAGAGAGCAATGTAGAATCGTCACTTGCATCTCTGATACATGCACCCTTACCAACCCTACGGAATACATAAACCCAAGAGATAAATCTTTGAGTACCAGAAAAGATTTCTTAGAGAAGGAAATTAGAAAAGTGTTGGTTCGAACTAGAAAACATATAAATGAATTGGTTGACTGTAAAGTTCTGGATCTCATTAATCGAGTTTCGGGGAAAATGCGCAGTCTCATATACACGAGTCAACTATGGACGCCGAGCATATCATACAAGCTGAGCAGGTAGGCATGAATGACAACACGCAAAAAAAAGCCTAGATCCTCAGGGAGGAAAACATAGAAGGTAAAATTTCTAAGTTTTTTCTTTATAAAGATTTCCTTATGATGGTATGTATAGAAGAAAGGCTCACACTTCCAAGAAAAAAGCCTTAAAAAAATGAAGCGAGAGTTTAATTTAAACTTGAGCAGTATAGCTGATCTTTTAGAGACTTGGATTAAGAAAAATGAGTTTTAGAATATACACCAGCAAAAAAATCGATTTATGAACGTAGAAAGTAATTCTAAAAATAGAATTGTATGTTTGGGCTACTCCGAAATCGATTTTATAGTGCTTATCCCGGCTTTAGACTCTGAGAATATGTTGGTCTTTGGAACTTATGAATTTTGCGTAAACGATGTGGATCAAAAATCAAGACATCGTCACGTATGAGAATAATTTACTTTCTTTTGTAGCAGATAATCTTCTATTTAATTTTTTTCTTCCATGAATTTGAGGTATCGTTTATTGGCTTCTCAACTTGAGAGCTGCTGTAATATATGATATGACTAATTTCATAAACAAGAAACCAACAACTCTTCACAATTATCTCTATAACACTGTGAAAGTTATATGTTTAGAAAGTAAGTCTGAAGTTGATTGGGTTTGTTGTGGGTTTACGTATTTTATCTTGAAAGGAAATCCACAAAGAGGCTTTTATTACAGGCAAATATATGTATTTCCAAACTCTAAAAGTTCACGACAAAATGGTAATGAATTTTTTTCCACTTTATGGTAAAGCAAAGAGGATTACTTAGAACCAATTTGACGCGTTAAAAGACGTGCAAAAAGAAAAAGACCAGGCTCTACTAAAAATTAACCTAAATAAAGAGTATAGAAACAATTAAAGCAACTTATATATATGTAGAAAAACCCACGGGATTTAGTATATTCTACACATTAGACCAATACATTTAAAACCTAAAGTTAATTTATTTATTTATTTATTTAATAGCTTACCCCTTCCATATGGATGGAACATAAGCTAACAATCAATCATTACTTAACCAAGTTCTAGCCGTTTCAAAGCCAATTATTTTTTGATTGGTTAGGTTGTCAGCCTCACGCAAACTTCCGAACGAAAATAAAGAGTACCACGACCGAGGATCAAGCCCAATCCTTCAGATGTAAATTCTGATATCTCAATAGTAGACTATTGGCGACTCGATTTAATTCATTAGATCGTGAAATATTTTAAGATAAAAATTTATAGTTCAACAAAGCCTGTAAAAAATCATAAACAAAAAGATTATGAGATAAATGGTATAAAGGTTGAGCTTTTTACCTTTGCTTGTTGTGCTGTATAGATTGTTGAGCTATAAACACAATAACAATACACAAGAGTGAAAATGAATAATGATGAGATTTTCACACTAAGTTTTATTTCTTTGCTATTGATTCTCTTAAGCTTCTTTTGAGATACAGCTTAATGCTTGAAAATTGATTCTGAGGCAAAATAAATTTCAAAATTTTTGTTTAGAAGTAAATCTAGATAAGTCAGACACAATTGATAGGTATTGGAAAGTTACTGCTATTCTTTTACAAAATGTTAGTGTTTATAAATTTCTGGAAATAGAAGAAGATAACAGGGGTAATCCGACACTTAGCTCATTCAAAGAAGTACGATTCAAACTAATATCAAGAGTTGAAAGACTTTGTCGCACAAATTAAATCAAAAAATCTATTTTTATGCAATTAATCAACATAAAATATCGTTGATTAACTATAACATAATAGCTTTTTAGCCTGAACTTACCGACTTTTCTAAGTTAGATAATGTGGCGCGTGTAGTGTTGAAAAAAATAAGTTATATATTCGTCAAAATATAGACGTCTATATCTTCCTCGAAAAAAACTTAAAAGAGTTTCTTATAAATTTGAGTTCAAAAGCGAGCATATGCTTATACAACTCTTGAATTGTCCTGAATGGGTAAAGAAATATCAACTCAATGAGCAGCAACCTAAAAGGTGAAGAATGGTAATAAAACCCACCTTGCACCAATAAAAGACTTCTTAAAAGTAAATATAGGTTGGAAGAAGAAGTCACAAGAATAATTTATAGGAGTTTCAACTTTCAAAACTATACAATTAAATATGAAAGCGAAAACCTTACTTAAAGTATATAATGCAAGAAAAAATGAGCTTGTAAGAGTTAGTGAAGGTACAGAATGGCCGAAGAAAGAGTTATTAGGCCACGTGATTAAGCAGGCCGTTTCTATATCTAGAATATATATGTAGTCTCGGATGCAGAAAGCATGTATCGACACTATAAAATCGGGTAAACATATGAGAATACGGCCCTGAATGAGATAAAATTCTCGGTCATGACTATACTAGAGGATAAAAAAGTGGTATGATGCATGAACTTACTCCTTTTAAATAGATATGCATTCAAGTCTTCAAAACGAATTAGGAGTCACTCATTTCAAGAGGTTATCGAAAACGAGTGGGCAGAGATAATAGTCGACACTATAATATAAACTTATTTTAAGATTTAGAATAATAGACCTGATATATTCATTTTAGATGTGAGAAAAATAAGATAACACTCATTGAAGTAGCAATAACTTCACCGGTTTCATCTTAAATGTTAAAACCAAAGCTTAGAAAGTATAAACTTTTAGCCAATTATTTGGTTTTATTTATAAATTGGTATAGAAATAATTCCTTATGTGATAACCTGAGAAGATATTGTGATGCAACAAACATAAGCCATACCTCAAAAGACTGCAAATATTATGAATATAGAAGCATACAAACAGACCATATTATTTATGAAGAAATCCTAAATTAATTTCCTTTGAGCAATAAAGAGGAGTTGTGTCGGAACCAAATTCAGATGAGAGTAGAATAGGCGCAAATGCGTTACCGAGAGGACTTGGGCTTGCAAAGAAGCAACACATTCTGTAAAAAAAGCGATATATCGAGAGGAATGTGTTTAATATGTTAAAAAAGACAATTATATACCCTTGTTGCAGAAAGAGGGAACGCATTAGTGGGACCGACGATAAAAATAAATGAAGAGTTCGATTTAGAAGAAGAAAAGACGGTGGTACAAGAGCAGAGGGAAATGCATAAAAGTGTTAAAATAGTTTTAACTCGGAAATTTATAAAATAAATATTTTTTAATTTTATATTTTTTTATTTCCAATGCAAAAACATTGTGAATTTTTATCATGATAATTTTTTGTAAGTAAAAATATTTTTTGTTTTGGATTCCTAAAAATTATTTTTTCAATTAATTCTTAATTTAAACTATTTGAATTGATAATCGATTTATATTTTATACTTTTAACTATTCAAATCATATAGTTTATCGTAAATGTCTGCTTGTTATAATAATATTCGATAGGGGAATATATTATAAATCTAAAATGAAAAATGTATAAATTTGATTACAGCTCTATTTTATAGTTATGCGGTATTTTTCTCATCCAATAGTTTTTTTAAGATTTGATATTTTTAAAAAATCGTAATTATCTGATTAAGAAAAAAAATGTTTTTTTTCTAATAATTACCTTATTTAGCTATTTTCGATAATTTGTTCTTTAAAACAATATTTCTCGATATTTTATTTCAAGAGATGATAAGACATCGGTTTTTTAAGTATATTTTATATTGTAACAATTAGATAAACTTTTTTCATAACATATCGAACAAAGATGAGGTATTATAGTTAAAATGAAGATTAAAACTAGTGTTAGCTGATCTAAAGGTTTTGCTTATATATCATAGGTTTTATATAAATATTATAAAATAAATTTGATTAAAAATAATGTTTTAACCAGATATATCAATCTTTATTAATTGAATACTTGTTGTATCTTGACATGGACAAAGTATATAATCATAAAAACGATAAGAATTTATCATTATTTGTATTTTCGATATTTTTTGAAAAAAAGTTTGCTAACAATTAAATAGTAGATTTTTTTTCTAATAAGTAATTGGTTACTAGGTGACATTACGCCCCTTTAAGACTTCTAGCCTTGTTTACTATAAACTTCCACCTATCCCGATCAATACACGTCGATTTAGTCTTTAGAATACCAAGTTAACTGATATTTTTTTTGACATTGTCT